TGCAGGGTAAGGCCACACTGGCTACCCGGGCAGAATCCCAGATGCCCACTTAAACCTGAATTCCACTCACAACACAAAGAATGTTGAATGAGATACAGTAGTGCTCGCATGCTCAAATGGTGTTCAGGATTTATGTGGAATTTAAACTGAAATGGACATTGTGTTTTTAATCTGGTAAACCTAGGACACAAACACGCTTACGGCTCTGCCAAGGTGAGATACATAGGCTATGAGGCGTAGTTTTGCCTGGCAGTTTCTTGTAGTAGTCTTGTCATCTCTGCTTTCAGGTGACATCTGTCCCATCAGCGTGATCTCTCTTAGGAGTCCTCCAGGAGCCGGCATAGTGGCATATCCCTGTTATCTCAACACAGGGCAGCTGAGGCAGGGGTCAAGAGTTTGAGCCCAGCCTGGGCAACTTAGAGACCTAGTGAGGATCCATATCAATAATAATAATAATTTTTAAAAGTGGGACTAAAGCATAACTCAGTATAGAGACCCTGGGTTCAGTTCCTAGTACAGAGGGAAAAAAAATATTAAGGAGCTTCACGTATGTTTTTATCTCACAAATAACTTTGGTTTTTTTTTTGCCATAGTTTTGTTGATAAACAGATAGCAATGAGACAGTTTCACATCAAATTTGAAGTATCATTTCAACAAATAATACACTGCATATATTCTTCTTAGTGGTTAATTGCTGTACAAGATGCGGACTTGAGATCCTATTTACAAACACCATTAGAACAAATCATTCTATTCATTAAGAGAATGCAACTATATATCTATCCTAACCACTTGGAATACACAGATGCAAAATGGACATTCATCAGTATACCCCATTTTTCCTAAGTTCCGTTATTGAATATTATAGGTGTGTAAACTCAGCAAAATATTCTAAAAGAGTCCCGTAGCCCATAACAGCATTGGGTCTTCTGTTTAACTGGCAATGTCAGAAATTATTGACCTGAGTCCCCCACAGCTCAACATAACAACATGGCTTTACTTCCTATATTTCGTCTTCATACTTTTCTACTGGATGGTTAAGACCAAGGTAAAGCAGGACCTGTGCAACAAGAGTTGTAGCTTTTTGGTCTGAGAAGGTCAGTGAAATGCCCTCAGGATTTATCCTGAGATCCTGTACCTCAGATTGTAGAACCTTTGTCAGTGCAGCCATGTGGATGAGTCACTGCCATTGTTTGGCCAATGTCTCACAAATAACTTTGATAAGAGCCCTGAATCTGTGTTGTAGCGAAGAATTTTTTTTTATTCTCTATGGCAGTTTTTCAGAGTTAATATTTACTCAGATGAAACCAATTACAGTGATTTTTTTATTGGCATTTTTATGATGCTTGGGTTGGGATCCCTCAAGATCAGGGAAATACAGGTTTGTTTGTAACTATCCACACTGACCCCTAGAAACATCACCAAGGCTCATAAGGAGAGAAACGTTATAGCCATACTGATGTCCCCAGTGCAGCCCGGTTTCCTCCTCTCCTTCCTTCCTATCTCCTTTCCTTCCCTTTCTCCTTCCCTCTCCCACTCGCTCACTCCTTTCCAGCACTTATTTGAGAGGCTCACAACCTGGAGGCACAACAGCAGCCGCTACACAAAGTTGACCTGTCCTTCGCTGGTGGAGCTTATGACAGAATGCAGGCGCCACAGTGCACGCCCGCCAAACCCGGGCCTGGGATAAGTGCTGTAAAAACAGAAACCGCAACGAAGTACAGAGCCCCAGAGCATGATCCTGGCCTCTCGTCTCACACAGCTGCTTGTTTTGGAGAGGGTCTGCTTTATAAAGTGAGCTTATCAGCCCGTAATTGAATGAAAAGGGCACTGCTATTGTCAATTGTCAACTGTATGTACCAAGTTAGCATCACCAAGGCTCTCAGTGTTGCACTCAAGGCCTGAAGGCTGGTGACAGAGAGGCGGAGGTGGGTGTGGAGCTGGCTGTAAAGGGCGTCCAGGCCCAGCCCAGTCCCTGATGGCACCTGCTGCACAATGACCTGTGCAGAAGGAGCAGGGTAGGAGACTAGAGCTTTTCCTGGGAAAGGCAAGTGAAAATGTGGTCTCAACTCAGTGGGAAGAGGCGAAAGGTGATGAGGAGCAGTTGGGCGTGGACCAGGTGAGCCAGGGGAGGAGCATGGAGTCCCACAGGGGCACTGGGGCTCAGTCCCTGGTGTGGCATTGGGGTTAATGGAACCATCATCTTCGGGACCAGGCTGTAGGAAGTGCGACAAGATGGTGGTGGCCTGGAGAGTGGGACCTTGTGGTATCTCCAGTCCTTGATCCTGAGCTGGAGGGACAAGACCAGCATTTGATAGTGATGTCCCAGCCAGAAAGATAGACACCACAGCTGTTAGTACCCCGAGGGTCACCGTGGAAGACAAGACTGCTACCGCCCCGTGTGAGCACAGACACCGAAAACAGGAAGTGGCTCTGGCCAGGGATAGGGCAATGCGGGGGGACTCCAAGAGTGACCGGACACCGCAGGTGAGGAACATCCAGCAGGAACTGAGCCCACGCTGGCAACTTTCTCTGAAATGCGAAGCCCTATAGCTTTGTCGGGCCACCAGCTGGCAAATCGCAGCAGAATATGCACTGCAAGGTTCTGATGGGTGGTGACTATTTCAAGTCAGATTATCAAAAGTCTTTGAAAACTGAATCCTTTTCAGCTGCCTAAGAATTTATTCTTTTTTATTTTATTTTATTTTATTGAGGATTTTGGCATCTATGTTCATGAGGGAGATTGGCCTGTAGTTCCCTTTCTTAGTTGCGTCTTTCCCTGGTTTTGGTATCCTTATAATACTTGCCTCCAGGAATAATTTTGGGAGGATTGCTTCCTTTTCAATTTCATGGAAGAGTTTGAGGAGTATAGGGACTACATCTTCGGTAAATGTCTTGTAGAA